CCTGTCTCAAAATTTAAAAAAAAAAAAAAAAAAAAGGGCTGAGGGTGTAACTCAATGCAAAGGCCCTGGGTTCCATCACCAGTACCAAAAAGGAAAAAGAAAACAAAACAAAGAAAAAAAAAAAAAAAAAAGGGCTGAGGGTGTAACTCAATGCAAAGGCCCTGGGTTCCATCACCAGTACCAAAAAGGAAAAAGAAAACAAAACAGAGCCCAGTCCACATCTCCAGGTGGGACTTTTTTTTTTTTTTTAACAGCGGGGAATTGAACTCAGGACCTTCACACATTCACACTAAGCTACATCCTTAGGCCTTTTTATTTATTTTATTTTGAGATAGGCTGGGAATGTAGCTCAGTGATGCTGAGCCTGCCTGGCAAACGCAAGGTCCTGAGTTCAATCCTCAGTACTGCCAAAAAAAAAAGTCTTTATTTTGAGATAGTCCTGCTAAATCACGTAAGGGAGGCATGAATTTGCAATCCTCTTGCTTTGACTTCCCAGAGTGCTGGGATTACAGGTCTGTACCACCGAACCCAGTTAGGACCTTTAAGAATTTCATTAGACCGGGGGCATGGTGGGGTATGCCTGTAATCTCAACACTTGGGAGGCAGAGGCAGGAGGATCACCACAAATTCCAGACCAGCCTGGGCTAGAGAGAGCCTGTCTAAAAAGAAAAAACCTCATTAGAGTCTGAAATCCTTGTTATTTCATTAGAATAGTTACTTTGGTAATCTCAGTTCCCTGACAGTGATTAATAGTGAAACTCTCAAGGAAAGGAGGTAAGGACCTCATTTGGAACCTGCTCTATAACTAGCACTACCCTAGATTTCCTTTTTTCCTTGCTGTTTTTTGAGCAAGTCTTACTACATAGTCCAGGCCAGCCTCAAACTCACTATGTAGCCCAGGCTGGCCTCCACAACCAGCTGCATTTGTACTTTAAAAAGACCTCCATATGGGGTCGGTGTGGTAGCACACATCTGTGATCCCAGCAGTCAGGAGGCTGAGGAGGAGGATCACTACAAAGTGGAGGGCAGCCTGGGGTACATAGTGAGTTCAAGGCCAGCCTGGACTACATAGGGAGACCCTATCTCAAAAAAACAAAAACAAAACAAAAAAAACCCCAAAACATAAAATAACCCTATAAACCAAGGTGGTGGTACATCCTCGTAGCAAGAGGATTGCAAGTTTAGAGCCAATTTGGGCAACATAAGGAGAACTTGTTTCAAAATGAAAAATAATAATAATAAAAATGGAGTCGGGCACAGTGGCGCACACCTGTAATTGCAGCACTGGGGAGGCTGAGGCAGGAGGATGACTGTGTTTGAGGCCAGCCTTTGTTACACAGTGAATTCAAGGCCAGCCTGGACTACATAGCAAGACCCTGTCAGGGGCAGGACATTTAGCTCAGTGGTTTCGCCATCTGCCCCACAAGCCCAAGGACCTGGTATCAAAAAAAAAAAAAAAAAGAACCTGTCTCAGTTTCGGCCAAGTCAGTTTTCCTTCCCTGGACATGAGAACCCTGTGGATAAACTGGTCAAGAGGTGCTGGACTTGCTGGACGTGAT